TGATATTTAGATACACCTATTTCACCTTATCGAGAAAAGAGCCATATCGTCGCAGTTAGTGAACCAAAAAAAAAAGAAAGATCAATGCAAATTTTATTGACAAATCAAATCCTATAAAACTCATCAAAAGGAGCTTCAAGTGAAACCCATCTTGAATTACACGAACTCCCCCACTGATATATTTTACATATTTATACATGGTAACGTTAGCAAAAAAGTATGAAGTCACAGATCAGTTCCATTTACTGCAGTATTGTAACACGTAAAGATAATATACATGTAGATTCAAATGTATACATTAGCTAAATCTAACAGAGTTGCTAGTACATGTATATTTGGCCATCCTTTTGGACTGCTCCTTTGTTTCAAGGTACTCGTATTCACGCTACGAAAGGAGGATCGGCTGGTGAATATATTACGTACGTAGAATGATAAGGCCTACAGACTAGCCAAAAGAAAAAGAAAAGAAACGCAAGTTTTTGTTTTGACCACAGTCTTTCAAAGAGGCCAAATATACCCCTGTTAGTCTGGTCATTGTACTCAGTATCAGAACACCATCTCAATCCCGCAGTAGAGTATTGATACGCTTGAGTGGCTCCAGACATATGAACACAAATTGTGACAAAAGTCCTGCAAAAGTCCACAATCAATGCTATTGGACACTGAAATCTGAAAAACAAGTTTATGAAACTGAATTCCATCTTGACATGATGCCATGGCTGTCTGATCTGGACAGGGGTCGTGCTATTGGCCATCGCCATTGGCGCAATTTTATGGCTCTGGGCGGCATAAGTGGCCATTTTCAGACAGAACTCATGGTGATTGGTGGAAATTTGACAGAGATGTAGTCCCAACTCTAGCTGTTGTTCCATTCATGCATCATCACCCAACCCCACGCCTGCGCCAGCAGGACAGCATTTGTCCCCAAACTGCCAGGATAGCACAGGCGTACATGCAGCAGGAGCAGTTTCAGACTCTTCTTTAGACCAGACATGTTGCCACTGAGCATACCTGGGATGAACTGGGCAGACGCCTTCATAACCGCCATACACAACCTGCCACCGTCATAGTCTAAAAAGTTGCACTGGTGGAGGAATGGAGAAGGATGACTCAGGTCTGCATTCGAGGTCTCGGACAATCCACGAGAGGACGGTACTGGCCTGTATTGCAGCCAGGAGAGGGCAATCCCTTTACTGAGCAATATGCTGCTCTTTTCCCATAACAAAACTTGCGTTTCTTTTTTCCTTTTTTGACTTGTAAATATTACCTACAAGTTGACTCAACTTTGATTTTATCGCTGTCTGAAGATTTAATTACTATTTCAGCTTCAAACTGCCATTTCTTCTTTTATCGGTCGCAGTTGAAATGTGCTGTAGGAGCATTTTGGATATATTCCATTTCATTTGAAATTTATCTTGACGGTGCTTAATAGAAAGACGTTAATATCCATCTATCGGGGGTAATTTTTAAAAAATACACCGAAAAGAAGATGGTAAAAAAAAAAAAAACGCTTCCTCAGTTGCGTAAGTGGTAGGTCACCTGAGCTTTTGAAGTTAATGGTTACGCAGAAAGAGGCAATGGAATATCAGGGAGAGTCTGCTGTCTATGGAAACTAATTAAACGTGCCTATGAAATATAAGACGGAATCACCGTTAGAGCAACGTTGCGTGAACTACTTTATCACGACAGCGAAGAAACTCAACCGCCATTGTACATCATAAAGTTCTTTGGTACTTCATCTGGTCAAAGTGACGGATACTGCGGAAAAAAAGCTATGAAACATCAAAGTAGTCAGTGATACGTTTAAAATGCTGCCACTTGCGTTCCATCAAAATGCCTCAACACAGCCAATATTTTACGGAGTGCTGAATATGAATCAATCAAGACGATTTCATTAATGAATTGAAATATACGGCAGTAAAAATTGGATGTTCTATTTGCGCACGTATATGGCTGATGCTTTAAAGCGTCGTGTTTGCGGCGTATTATTAATTGGTAGATAGTTATTGATTATAACTTTCTCTCTTGATTTTTATTTCGAAGTAAAACCAGGTGAAGTGAAAGAAAGTGTAGATTGTCAACGTCAAAAAGACTTTTTCCATGTTATAAGTTGTTGCCCATCGCTGCATAAATTGCATCTTCGTAATGAGCAATGCCTGTTTTGCTTCCAGTATGTAATAAAAGAAATTCATATTTGCTTGCTCTGATAATATTTTTTGAATGCTTTCATCCGATTCATCTTCTACACGGTCTCCTCCTACATGTTTATGCTCTCGTCATGCCCTTTATAGCGGGGGTCGTGCAACGTTTTTCTGATTGATTAAAAAAAAACAGCGTAATGTTATTTGAGAAGCAAGAAGAGCACACAATAAAGAACGTCCTCATGGCGATGGTTTCGTCATTTTTGGTGTAAGCGTTTTGTTAAGGATTGGTGATTCTGAAACCCGTAGTTGTAGTAACAGCAAATTTATATCGTTGTGTGCCTTTGATCCAGTTGGAGGATCTAAGTAATATACATATAAACTACGTCCTGGGTTGTTTCATCATTGTTTCTTTGATACCAGTTTGTTGCGTTTTTTTTTTTTAATATTATTAAAACTTAAATGGTTTCGATTTCTTAAATCCCAAATAAATAAGTAAATTCATTTAAATGAAACCTTTGTTAGTTAATTTCAGATGGTATTATTTTCTTCAAGGTACTGTCACACTAAGGATAAATTACTTAAATATGCGAAAAAAATTGCCCATATACAGAAGAACGCAAAGGGTTCGTTTGACTTAAGTAATATGCGTATCGAATGCGCAGGTAAACGTTGGTGTGTTACTAGAAACGCATTGTAACGTACCTTTAACGTCACTCAAGCGTATTAACCGTATCCCCAGCGTGTCCCTTGCGTAGGAGCAACATGTGACTAATATGTTTGTATTTGCTGCGCGTATGCCAACGTACACCAATGTATGTGTAATTGTTTGCGTACGTTAGTGCTATACGCTTGTTAATATACATGTACTTTATAGTGTGATCGGACCTTAAGGTTGGTGCGTCGGGAATACGCTTTCTATGCAGATATTCGCAGCGAGAAAAAAAAGCATTGCACACTGAATACGCAATTTACACAGAATTCGTTAACTGTACTCAATTTACACGCTAATTTCCATAATTGCTATTGTAATTTATGTTTATAGATTTTATTTAAAAAAAGAAAAGTCTTAAATAATAAATATTAAAGCCTGCTAACCACACTAAATGTGCCAATTTTTCATAAGTCATCAGTAAAAAGTTAGACTGTACATGTTACATGTATGTCCTTTCGGAACAATTTATACCTTCTAACCAAAATGAAGGTCTATATTGCCGCTAATAAGGCTAATTTAACCTTTTTGAAGGGACTGGTTCGATTGTTTAGCAGTACTCACTAGTGTTCTCCTAGTATAGTTTCCCTACACTATGATACTAATGGTCAAGGTCACAAGAGGGTAGGCATCAATATGACTGCCCCTATTGTCTGGCCTACTTACCGCATTGATAGGAAAAAAGTTCCATCTAAATGTTTCAGTCATGGCATAATTGCAAGGAGTATGAAGTTAGCGGACCCCAAAATAATCACTTTGGGACATTAAGGATTGATAACACTCTGGTGTAGGGGAGCGTTTATCAAATTGTTATCAGAACTGTGAGCAACAACATAAAATAGACTGCTTTAGATAACCGTTGGACATACAAGCTTCTCATAATTACATACATATAGATATATCACCACGAACATAAAAAACAGCAAAACGTTTTTGAATTCTTAGTAAAATGTTAGTTTTCGGTCTGTACATGTACCCATTTCGTTAACAAAAGTGAAAGGCTTGCCTTTTAAGATTAAAAAATATTTACTTGCCAGAATAAAAAATATTTACTTGCCGCCACAGTTAGTTAAGGTGGCCCTTGGTCGCTTACTTAGACAAACTGGATTTAAAAGTAAATTACCTAGTAGGTGCATCTATAAAATCAACTTTATATTAGTGCCCTGGCAGCTGCCGCTAATGTCTCAGAGTAGCCGTTTTCCGGGCAAAAAGGTAATTACACAACGCCATTAGAGCTCAAAATTTATTGCTTACGAACACTTAAATATAATCCTTGGAGATGTCCTCAATTAACACCGCTGGTTTAAGTAGCGTTTCTAGTGATCTCTAAACATTTGATACTATACATTTACTATCCATCCAAAGCCATCAAAAACCTAAAATAAGTCAACGGCCTAGTAAAGACATCATTGAAAATATTTGTTATGTGAAAAATGAGTCAAGATTTATTTGGATTAACCTTAACAACTACTACCATATTTAATAGTAATAGAGTTATAATATTAAAACTTTTCTTTGTCAATTTTAGAATTTTGAAATAGTTTAGATACATGACTTACTTCAGCGCGTGTACCTCTTATCGTCTCTTTTTTCTGTGTGTAAAAAGGGTGATATTTCATATAAATACCCGACCGCGTTGCAAAAAGTGCGATGAAAAAAGTTGGGATATTTTTTCAGACCAACCCAACTTTTGTTTCAGACAAATAATTGACCATCTATCACATTTTTCTTAACAAATACTGACCCCAGACCAATAATGTTACACAAAAATACAACACAAAGTTTTATGTAAGGTAATACAACAGTGTCTCAACGTCAGGTAGAACAGGGTAGCGACCAGTAAATCCACACCTAATTCACAACTCATGTAACTGCATGACTTAATTTAAAATGCAAGCAGTAAAGTCTTCAAATGGCTCTCTTGTACTTTAGGCTGTATTCCCAGAGCTTTTAGATCGATCTATCCCCGCGGGGAGTCTCACTAGATTACTGTCAGATAATCCGGCTTAAATGTCCGTCCCGCCTACTACAAGCTGTAAGGGGGTAATTAACTTTCGTGTCCGCTCGGCTCGACAGCTATTTAGCGTGAACCCCAAGGGAGTTAGGTTGATCTAAAGTAGATCGAACTAATCTCTGGAAATGGGGTCTTAGAGTTGAGATGACTTGGTGGCTGTGATCCCTTGCGCCCGAGCTACAGGTGCTCTTGGCACCAAGTTCTTAGGTGCAGGTTTCAAACGCCTGTCTCTGCACAGCCTCAGAAATACCCCGGACGCAGACTTCCGAAATCTTTTGTTCAGGAATGTGTAAATAATGGGATTATAACAGACGCTTCCCAGCGCCATCCACTGGAGATAACTCCGGATACATTTACTTGTTTCACTTAGCGGGGGGTCTGACAGTGTATACGTCATGAGAGGGGCCCAGCACGCTGTGAACACGAGCACGACAATGATCATCATTTTGATGGCACGTTTCTTGGCGCGAGTAAACACGTCCTCTAAAGTCGAGGATGCGGTCCCCACGGGTCTTCTGACGAACATGAAATGACCAATTTTGAGATATAACCCTGTCATTATAGTAAACGGAATTACAAATAAGAAAAATATGAAGGTGATGTTGAAGGTGTTGATTGTCCAATCTGAGGCCCAAATGCAGAAACTTCGCGTTTCTTGGTGCCCAGCAGTTTCCACTGGTATGGAAAGAAGCTGGTAGCTTAGCAACACTGGGATGTTGACCACGATGGAGACCGCCCAAACAACGGCCATAAGCTTGAGGGCTCTGGCGTAAGTGTGAATGTGCTTTTTCTTCAGTGGCTGTACACAAGAATAGTATCGGTCTATCGCAATGCTGCACAAGCTGAGCGTGCTGCACGAGACAGAAACGTTCTGCACGTAGGGAACCATGCGACAGGCAAATCCACCGAAAACCCAGTACTTGCTCAATATCATGCCAATGTTGAATGGAATGCAGAAGAAGGTAATAAGTAAGTCACTTCCCGTAAGCGACAGAATGAAGACGCTGGTGACAGTTCGGAGAGTTTTATTGCTTGCATACACCATCACTACGACAATGTTCCCTGCTAAGGAAACCAAAAACACCACAATGTAGAGCACCGTCAGTATGATCTGAGATGTCACTGGCAGACCTTCATACACGTGGCCGTCACCCGAAGTCGTGCCATTTATATTGCAGGCCTCCTGGATATCCAGAGAATCCAAAAATTCCAAAAGGTCCTCACTTAGATTCTGGTATCTCTGGCACAAGATGCTACTTATCAGATCTGGTGGGAACGGTAATATGGTCAGATTTGACAAGTAATTGGATTCTGCAGAGTCCATCGCTGCTGAACTAACCTGACCCGTCACTATTCTATTCACAACAACCAAAAATTCTGAAGGTCACCGATCGTTTTAAACAGTTTCTCAGCAAATGCTTGCAATTTAGATGGTTTGGTCGTTTTATAGTTTAACCTATATGATAATCATGAGATTGCGACTTCGATTATGTCAGACTCTAATAGCCTTTGAATAATGCGTTGGGTTTTCAAGGGTTTTGTGTGTTCGTCTAAGTCTAGTCTAAGTATTAAAACAGAAAGATAACAGCATAAATGCATCCTCGCCACATGTGCATGTTTTGCAGTAAGTGTGAAGCCACAACCATGCTATCGTTACTGTAAAGAGCACTACAAGACTGAACCATTAATGGTCATTAGTCGCGCGAGTTTCTCAAGTGCTATGGCGATAAAGCCCATGCTGCGACTTCCCGTTAAAGGTCAAAGATTTTCAAGAATTATATAAGACAGGAAAGTGTTAAGGTACCCAATTTCCAGTCGTCTTCGGTGCGTTAATACAGGTGATGCTACCTCGGGGAGTCGCACCAAGGCCGTGATAGCATATCATCCAGCAATATACGGTACAATTTCCTGTCTCTGTGGTACAAGATACTGTTGACATGGTGAAGTTCACAAAGAAAAATAGATAAAGTGCAATTACCGGTTTTCTGACGTTGTGGATCTTCAAAACACATTACCGCAAAGTTGCTTGGAAGTGTTGATGTTTAATCTTTCATTGAAAAAGTAATTGATCACATATGTCTTTTCTCGCTTGAAGTGCTGTTACAGAGGATATTTTGATTAGTCATTAGAAGAACAGGTATATAATTTGTCAAAGACAAAATCTGAACTCTCAAGTTGTCTAATTTTTTTTCAATGAATGAAATCTATATTTAATACGTATCGACAAATTAAAGTTATTTTTTAAATTAAACGAATACACGCCACCATGCAGTTTTTACCAGTAAAATCGATTTAATAATTGGGTAAATGTGACCACTGCCGATATCATATTTCACATTTATTAAGTGCTTGTGTTTATTGAGAATAACTTCATAACAAACGCCCGTGAGTCAGACAATTGATGATTTCGTTATCTTCATTTTGCACAAGTTTATTTCCTTCTTATCGACATTCAATCATAACACATTGGCCTATGGACCAACATACTGTCCCCTAATCGTGCACAATCAAAACACCTTTAACATAGAGTTTAAACCAATCGGCAGTCATTTTCAGACAATGAATAACATATCCCTTTTCCGCCCATGATAGTGCATGCATCCCTGCGTGCGTGGAATGTCTTGGCTTACACTGGTAACTCCATAGTGCTCGGGACAGATAGTTGTTATGAGATATGTGTCGCCGTCGCCGTTTATATACTGTATTTAGCGGTATTCACATACCAGTAAAAAATACAAAGCAAATAAGACAAATTATCTGGAAGAAGGGGAATCGACATAACACATGTTATTCCAAAACAATAACAGCCTGTTTTCTGAATCAGTATATTCCAGTTTTTCTTCTTGAAATAAAACGAATGTTTTTAAATTCCCTCTAGTGATACTGCCAGTCTTACACACCCTCTTGTTCAGTACAGTTGTGCTCAAATTACGAAAAAATTGCATAAGTATAAACGCTTTGAACGGTAAAAAACAATGAAATGAAGCCTCATCCCCCAATAACACACCTTCATATAACTTTTGCATATTTTCAAGAGAATTTGTTGGAAGCTTAAACAAGCAGTTCCCTTGCTATAATCAAATCACAAAGAAATGTTAGAATATCCCAATCCAAATCCCTGACTATCTTGTTACTTCTATTTCTTTACTAAGCTTATACAGTGTTAAATCGTAAAAAATCAAATGCAGGTGCTGCCTTTAATCGATCCAGGCATAATGGACAGTTTTAGGCCCAGGTCCAGAGTTTGACTTCCGGTTTCCTCGTGGTGGATTTGGATCCAACTCCCAACGGGAAACCCATCCTCTTGACAGTGGAACAACGACCCATTTCCACTCGAATGGAGTATTCGGTGGCACTGAAGAAAAAAATTAATATTTTCCATCGACCTTAAAGTCATTTCTTTGTACAATACACTTCTTTAACAAAATGCGTATTTTATAAACAGCAACAATTGACCCAAGTACATGTATACTGATTTGGGATATATTGATAGAATAATGTTTAAATCACTACTGCCTTTACCCATCTCAACCTAACAATAATTTAGCTGATAGACAAATACAATGCAACAATCCTTACAACTGAGGGAACAAGTCCAGTTCCCAGACCCTGCTGGGTTTTCCGTGGCAAGTACTGTTTGGCTCGGCTGCCACGAGCCAAGTTCAGGAATATCTCCAAGTATCCCCATGGCTTCGTTTGCGTTCCTGGTCAGATAGTGCGTAGAGATGGACCATGGAACCCCGGCCCCTGGACAAACTGCAACTTCTGAAATAAAAACCAAACGTGTTTTAATTCTAGTTTGAATATACCTAATTTGCAGCCATTGGTCGGTTTCCAGGTTTTGTTCGCACCTTTCCTGAGCAACGTCACAATTTTTCATCAAGTTGATCTTTTCCCTAAATATTCACATGTAACAAATATATACAACTTTTGTGTTAACAAATACTGAAATAGAGAACGTGATGCATTATATTGAGGAGAAATTACATAAATGATTCATATAAACATTCAACTTTGTACTTTAAGTAATAATCAAAGTACAAATTTCAATATCTCAACTTCCAATTAAATTTTTCTGTCTTTTAACAAATCAAATTATTACAGCAGATAAGCTAAACAGACTCTGGTGGAGTCAGACACACAGACATATATAGACATATGTATATAGTATATAATTTTATTATCCCTTCATTTCCATATATATATGTTTCAGAACTCACGGAACTCACACCATGTCTTTGGGAACTGAAACCTGTATCATGCAATATTATCAAACAAAAAAGCTTCCAGACGACACAATTTCAGTACGCACATACATAGAACTGATCTGGAAAGGTTAGTAGAAATAGATAATGTCAACTGCAACAAACATCATTCGCGTCACATATAAAGATAAAAATAGGTGACAAACCGCAACTCCCTATTGTTACCGGTAAAACCATTAAACACTGTACTGACAAACGTCAGCATACATTCTGGGAAGAAACAGTTCTAAGATGCTATGAAAGTTCAGACTGGGGAACGCTTACGCACACCAAATGGCGTCGTGGCAGTGTCTGGCAATGTTAGCTAGAACAAGTCCACATATGCTAGTACATGTACATCTACACAGTATTTATCATGTGGAAGTAGTGCACAACAAAACTCGTCACATGCACGTGCCTAAACAGTTTTCTTTTTTCAATTTTCCATATATATATTGCTGTAAGTAAAACACCAATCTCGTGCAAAAAAGTCCATATTATTAGCACACGGTACAACTGGACATTGCCCTTCAATTAAGTCGCATGCACGTATACCTGGACTAGGCTCATTTTGAAATTGAGCCTCTGCGAACTTTGAGGCCTTTACTTCAGGTTCAGTGTTTGAACCCAATCCCGGGGCTTCTCTTTGAATCTCCATAAGGCCTATGGACATCACCTTCTTTGCAACAGCAGATGGTGCTTCGTCATCTTCCTGGACAGTGTTATTCACTACACAATCCTTTGTTGGGACATCGGCTTTCGTGAGATAGATGAACGTTTTCATGTGATTAGACACACACATACCTCTACTGTGAATTGGCATTTATTCGGGTCGGTCATTCAGGTATTGTTTTGAGGATAGATGGTTTGTATGTAATATATGCATTAATGAATGAACAGGACACTGAGTAGGAGGAGAGGCGATAGATGTCCATAGAGTGAGAGAGACAGACATAAGGTTAACTGCGAGACCAGGCAGTGTAAAAGTTGGATTGACAATAGCACAAACAACAAATATCGATAGGAATTTTACACTAACCAATGCTCAAGTACAAGACTTATGAAAATAATTTTCTCTCAATATAGCTTTTCAGACACGATCGCTAAGTAACGATTGTAACATAATTCTTACTAATGCACAGCTGATGACGATTACGTTAAAACACATTCTCCCCCCCCCCCCCCATAGCATGCACCAAATATACCTGAGAGGTTCCAACTTGTCTTTTCCTCTTCATTAACATTCCCAGGTACAGATACCGGCAATCCATCCCCTTCTAACCTCTGCCAATTTGTCTCAGATGGATTGCTTATTTGTGATTCCCCTATATAATCGTTTGTGTCATAAGCGGACAACAAAATGAGCTCGGACGCTGACGAATCGGGCCCTGATGGCTGTGGTGAGGCGGGATCTATAGAGCTTATGGGCATCTTCCCTGTGGGGTGCTTTGCTGGTCTTGTTACAGGTGATTCTGGTGGTTTGCATGCTGATGGCGTTCCGTCTGCTTTTCTTGAAGTCGGTTCAAAGTCACTGCCCTCCGTTACGCCCGTATGCTGTGCTTCTGCTTCTTCTGTATGCCCCTGTTGTTTTGGGGATACAGGTGACTTTGTCGGTTCTTGTTTTGCTAGTTTTACTGATATTGGGTCTGTAGTTGGTGGTTGCATTTCGACGGGCTCCTCTAGTTCCGTGGATGTTGAAGAATCTGGTTGTTCTAGGTCTGTGGGTTCTAACTGGTCACCCTCTGACGAAGTTGTTTTTTCAAGCTCTATGGAACATGGTTGTTCAGGATCTATTACAGGCGTTGACTTCTCGTTTTCCAGCTGAGGTACTGATTCTTCCGCTTGAATCATTTCTTTTGCATCTAATGCTTTTTGGATGGACAGATAGCCAGGCGCTGCGTTTTGAACATAGGGGGGGGTTTCATGGTCTTCAATGACAGCAGTAGACTTAAGGGCTCCATCTGTTGATTCATTGGCTAATATGGATTATAGACATGTATGCATTTGACGATATAAAAACACATTTCCAAGTTATTAAAAAGATGAAAATGTGGGTAGATTTGTGAATTATGATATGGACCGTGAAGGAAGATAATAGACATTGCAGACACAAAGACTTGAGGGAGCCTAAACCGGATCTAATGAGGAGTTGTTGTGAAGGTACGATGTTCCGCACCTAGCAAAATGGGATGGGAGATAAAACTGTGACTTTGTGCCACGACAATGTTCCTTAGGCTTTGCATGCACAAGCTGCCGAAGCGAAATAATAGCATTTCGCTACCCCTGCATCCCCTTTTTCTCCTCCGCCTGTAAGTACAATTCTGGTAGGAAATGGCAGGACGTGTGAGTTGTCAGGTAGGGCCTAGTGCCTTAGGATGACTGGATTTGCATCACAAATGTTGGTCAAGGATTCATGAAACGGCTCATCATTAACATGGATAGATAAACGAACAACATAGAAATATTGTGTTGAGTGAAGTGATAGAGAGAAGGAAGATAGGATACTTAGATACAGGCATAATATATAACATTTTAAGCTACCCAAAATAACGCGTGGTCAAACATCTTATCAAAGTCATTTAAATGTCATGTCACACAAACAAATGATATGCAGCAAATCATAAACTAAGCAATTGCCACAGCTTTTGAAAAACAAAAACCCCAATTAGTAGATATAGATGCTGATCACGAGAAAAATCCCCATGCATCCTTTAGCAGCAAGTCATGCAACTCATATACCTGGCTGGGTATCCGCTACTTCTTTTACCTCAGCTACCTGTACGTCTACGGGTGTCATTGGTTCTTCAGGTTTTGCTTGCTCTGCTTCATTATCGGCTTTATTTTCTGGTTCGGGTTGAACAACGACAACTTCTTGAACCGGTGCTGGTTCCTCTGGTTCTACTGGTTTTGGTTGTTCGGGCTCTGCTGCTTTTGGAACTTCTGGTTCTGCTGCTTTCGGAGGTTCCGGTTCTTCTTTCTTCGGAGGTTCAGGTTCTGCTGGTTTTGGGGGTTCTGGTTCCACTGGTTTTGGTTGTTCTAGCTGCACACTTACGGAGGCGGCTTCAGCTTTTGGCTCAGCTGCAGGTTTTGGTGGCTCTGGCTCAGCTGCAGGTTTTGGTGGTTCTGGTTTGGGTTGCTCTGGTTCAGCTGCAGGTTTTGGTGGCTCTGGTTTGGGTTGCTCTTGTTTAGGGGGTTCCTGTTTAGGTGCTTCTGGTTTTGGGGGCTCCTGTTTTGGAAGTGGCGGCTCTGCTGCTTTTGGTGTTTCCGCTTTTCCAGGCGGTGTAGCAGGGGGTGTTTTTGCTAACATAAATAAAGACCGTTAGAATGCAAGAAAGAAAGGTACTTCAGCTTATTCTACGCGTAAGACAATAACATGTTCATACGATATAAATTAAACGACGAAATCGGCCGTTTACATAGCACGATAGAGAATGTATCCCATGATAGACAGTATTTTCCTATGTCAATTTAAACAAATAAGGAAAAGTAAGTAATTGGCAGATTTGAGAGAGCGCCAATGACACAGAGTAAACACATTAAACACATCTATTAATTGTCGCAATAATAAACAATTCAAAGCACTTATGTGTTACCTATTGTGCAGCTGACAGTATACTAGCAATCACAGCTATTTTAGATGCAAAATGTGGGTGGATGACATCCACTGGATGTCGTTTGGAAATATGAACTGACATCTCCATTGGTAAAATGCTTAATCTAATTTTGTGTTGCATGTCAGCAATCGTAATTGTATCTCTATTGTACATTTTCATCTACAATAAATAAGCAAGGCTAAGACCAAACCAGATAAGAGAAAATCATACATGCATCTTGGTTAGACTAATATTAATTTTGAAATTAGTTTAGTATAAAAACGATGTTATATTATTAGTGAATTATAACGTGTCCCGTTCGTAAGAACAAAGGAACAATAAGTCTGCATACCTCATTCCATAACTTCCTTTTACTGAAAATACTTTAAATAGAGTTAAGCCTGTTAGTATCATTTGCTATTAGATAGCTCCATTCGTTGTTACGACGTTTGTATTTTTTCAAATACACTTCCTAATAAATTTAAACTACAGATAACATTTTACTTAGCAACTGTCGTTCCATTATTGTATTACACTATAGAACTTTATTCATGTTGACAATGCTAAGTTTAAGATGTGATCATTATCAAATTTGGAGCTTACGTTACGGGGTTCACTACGTTATGTTTGAACTCAGTGTTTAATGGGACCAAGGTTTTTCTATGACAATGCCTTTGATGAATTTTAATTTACAGATTTTTGTTAAAAACCTTTAACAACTATCTTGTTTTTTTCTTAAACTTTCCCAACCTTTTACCAAATTACATAATACATTGGTGGTTCAGATCTACCTCTTAGTTGCACAAGCACACCCACTAGTATACTATGTAACGGACTTCATTATGAAACTAATCAATATAAAACCTCGCAGTCAGTTGTGGGTGCTTTGTTTTCGTCCTAAGACTTACTGATTAAAAAAAAACGGATTCTCGTATTTCTTAAGATTCGCAGACAGAATTGCAAAAGTCAAAGTTCAAGGAGGCCGTGTTATTTCAAAACTGCTTTCTTGGAACTCTGACACTGCTTACCCTGCTTTAGTATCGTATGTTTTACTGCACTGTATGCATGTTCACTTTCACGTATGCTGTTGTTTGATGGCCTTTGTGGTCATTTTATGATTTAACTCAGAACTTAACTTTTTCTGCAAATGATTTCCAAAAAAGTGTTTAGGATAACTGACATGCAAACCTGCAAATTCCTTTATAAACTCAGGGTCTACATAAAATCACATCATTCCACACACAATTCCTATTAAAATTTAACCCCCGAAATATCTAATGTCTAATACTTGGTGAAAAGGAAAAAAAAGCAAAGACTAGATATCTTTGACAAAGATACCTGGTGTTAGCTGGACAACTTGGACTTGCATCTGGTTAGGTTCTACAGCAGGCTGGACATCAGCGAGGTTAAAGGTGACATTCGTGGTTACACTGAAGTTAGTATTACCTGCAGAATCCTGTCTCTGGGGCTTGGGAGGAACAGGAGGGGGTGACTTAGGGCCTTTGTTGTGGTAAGTACGCGAAATTTAAGTAGGATAGAAGAGAAAAGAGAAAAAAGTGTATTTGTATACGTCTTTGCACCCATGTACAAATGATTGCTGTAAACATTTTTTTCATGTCAGCCAAGCTGCTCAGCATATATATTTGTAGAAAAAGAGAGATTTAATCAATGCAATATCCTGCAGTAAAAACACATATACCAAGAAAAATTAGTTCGAAAAGAGAAACTGACTTCAAAGACAAAGAAGATGATTAAAAAGCTATTCATCAGCAAGCATTGGCATTCTTGTTTTCATGACCACTTTAGTATAGAATTCTAGATTTTGGGAACTGCACACTGCAAATACCGCCACCTACCTGGAGATGTTGGTGACGCCACCTTTTGGCCGGGCGGCGGTGCCTGACCAGGCTTGGGTTGCGTTTTAGGAGGCATTTTTAACCCTGCTTAATCAAGAATAAAGGTAGAAAGAAAGAAAGAATAAAGTGAAAAGATGTAAATCCTAAGTTACTCGTTAAACAAAAGCACCCTTCACTGGAAAGTCATTGTACAAAGGTATGTAACAAGGAAAAGAAATAAGACGTCAGAAAAGCATTATAAAAGCTTGTTAATAAACTAAATAGATGCAGAACTGAATCTACAGAATTTATTTTATTTTCGAATCAGATGTTAAGATAGCTAGGTTGGCACATGCAGTTGATGGAAATCTAAACTGTGGTACCTGCCGCATTTTGCGTGGATGCTTCTGCAGGTTTGTTCACAGCCAAACGAGGAAAGCCAGGGGCCTCCTCCAGGGGAGATGCTGCGGCCACAGTTTCGCCTTACTCGATGAAATACCACACGAACACGCAAGACAACGACAAAGGCAGGGGGAGGAAAGATGAAGAGGTAAAGAATGCATTATGTCAAATGGAAGCAATTCAATACAAAATAACATTTAAGAAATATTCCATCAAAGGCCAACAAAGGAAAGGGAGGAATTGGCAAAAGTAAGGTAACGGTTGTGTCATTTATTAATTATATAACATATAAGGAAGGTTTCATGTTCAGGCAGCAACCACAATAATTGGAAACAGCATACATTTCAGCATCATCCTAAAAACTTGAACTGAAGCCACACGGATAGTAAAATTTTCAGCATAGACACAAATCAACGTTACATAATTGAGTATTTCAAATTTTCTCTACACTTTTCCTAGGTTTCTGCTCGTGCTACCCTTTCATTCCTGGTATCAAAAGAAACCACAAAGCATGAAACGGACGAGAGAAAAAAAGAAGTCGTGTTTTGGAGATAACACTTGAATCCTGGTTCCAACCGCAAGTCGTGCCAAAGATCTAACCAATCTCCCAGGGCTTGCCTGTTGTTGTTGTTATTTCCCTGGGTCCAATCTAGACAGTTCAACTCTCATTATTTACACTACATAACAGATACAAAGCCTGCCGCTTATACATGTAGTACAATACGCTACAAATGGATATCCTTTACGCAATTTTTCTTTTCGTAAAAATACGCGCAACAAACGGTCGCTAACGATCGGTAGACCCAATTCTACATATATATATACATATATTATCAGATAATATTTCAAATTGGGGATTACAATTAGTAGTCTCATAAAAGTCCAGTATAATAACGTAGGATTGAAACTGTGAACAAAACACTGTCACTTTCATTATTGTTCTTCATCTGGTTCAATGGTAAAATGTTTTAAAAGTTGATTAGAATTACATTTTTAACAGTCCTAATGTAGTTAAAGGACAACAGAAGTCTAAAAGAAGGTTAGAAAGGTAAACAACATTAAAAACACGCTGTAGTAATTTTTTATGAGATTCATAACTAATCGCCTTACAGAAAAGGCTTGTGTAGCTGGTAACTGTTTGGCACTTGATCCTTTACACTGCCTGTGCTACTATGTTTATACTTGTTTGTAAAATATTAATATATGTATGAAATGATTATTATCATATGCCTATAATACATTTGTTATTTGACTAAATAAATAACATCGAACCAATGTAAAATGGACAAAGAACTTGAAGATTACATGTAATATATTATTTTTTACTATAAAAACGCTGGAAATAAATACTACACCACTGATTATGAAAAACAACAACAACTAAATGCCTTCTGCACGAAAAAGGGTTAAGTGCACTGATGATATGACAGTTAGTTTAATCAGACACAAATATATTGCTTACATATTATTTATATATGTTGTGTAACAAAGGTATTAATTTATCAAGTGAAAAAAAAACAATAAATCCACGTAAAAACCTAAATGTAACAGGAAAAATAAAGTAATCGTTATAATATCATATCGTGATATCAGGTTATACAATATAAAAACAGTATTAAGAAAGGTGTAAAGACGTCTGTATAGGCCTACCCACCTGGTTTAGCTGTCATTGTTACTTGCTGTGTCTGTTGGGCTGTAACCTCCTCCTTCACCTCTCTCTCGGCTATTTTCTGCTTGGCCTCCTTGAGCTCCGTTATGCCTTCAATTTCAATCAAACCCATTTTTACCAGCTGAAATATAAGATTTCTATTGAGAAAAAACAATGGACAAAAGACAGTAACATAATGTTTGTAACAGACACCTGTGAGGATATCGTAAACTTAGGTATCTCGTGTCAGTCTGAAAGCGAAGTTATGTGCATTTTCAGAAGAAATCTCAATTTAAGGACAATACATTGTACAGTATAGTGTCAAATAACCATAAACGACTTAGCCAACAGCAAGCATTTTTCGCCATGACCAATTCAGCGCGATCTGTGAACTTTTTTCTTTCTTCTGTGGCACTATGTATTTTATTTACTTATTTGAAGGGGTGTAGAAAACTGATAGGTAGATCTTGAATAGAATCTTTAAAACCGTTTTGTTTTAAATTTTTTGACTTAAGTAAGACGTCTTAACTCAGCCGACTACGTGAATCGACTTACCTCATGCACGTAGTCCATGTAGTTCAGTTTCCCGTTTGAGTCCTTCATTTTGGCGGCAAGGTCGGTGAGCTTGCGGTACTCAGAAAAGATGAAATGCTTTCGTACTCGCTGGAGGATAATTTCCACCTGGGTATACACCACGAAGCCACTGTTGGACTTGTCGAATTCTTGGAAGCTTCGCCAAAGGGCAGTACCCCTGAGAAGGAGAACCTCATGATCATTGTATTGTGTATTTTGTATATTGAAACAATGGTAAGCAAGTGGTTTATTAGGTCCAATATGTCACCATGATTCGCTGTTTTTTGCCATCGTGTTTACTTAAGATGTTTAAATAAGTGCATTTCTATGCCATCTGCAATATGCCAATTCCAAATACAAAAAAAAAAAAAAAAAAACGTGTACTAGGAAAGTACAACTCAAATATTGTACATAATGTTGCTCATAGGCCTAAAAACAAACTCAGGCGCTGGGAAAGATGAATGAGGTTGATTTTGTATCCTTGGTATGATTTATTTGCGTGTTTTTCAGTGATACGCGTCACATATTTATAACATTATTAAAGAGGTTTCATCAAGATAAATCACACATTACTAGCGTAAAAATGCGTAACAAACATTTTAACAAGAGACATCTGACACCTTTAGGCTTTCAGATAAATCTTTCATTTTATCATATTCTCCATCCTAACCAATAAAATGGCCAACCTGTCAGCACCTAATCAAGCCCCACACCTACAATCTTTTTACTCCCATCCATCCTGTGTACAGTCAGGAGAAGGAGGGGGTGAGGACCATACGCCACCCCTCCGTTTGTTTTCTTTCCTCTATTCTTTAATACATATACTGTAGGCCTACTGGGCAAACCAATGCAAATAAGTTTTCTCATTTCCCCAACCAAACAAATCATTTAAGACCTTGATCTGCTAGCAGACCAGCTATGATTAAAACTGTTGTTTTCAACAGATAAACCGATATACCATAGAGATTCAGCCTGATAAAGATTAATCCCCCTCAATACATGGCGTACATCGGCTCAGGTTTGTGTTAAAAGTTCATGGAAATGATGTATGAGTGCACATGTGGTCTACGTGTCGATAGTGGGATTCCGGTGTGTCTGATGCCTTCACCTTACCTGGCCGACCGAGCCATCCTTGAGCTGCCCTTGATCATCCGATAATTCACTCACAGTTAACTGATGTTTAATGATTTGATACAGGTAGCTTTACCCGTAGGAAGCAGACCCTGCGACTACCGTGCAGATTTAATTCTTTAATCAAGGGCGATATCAAAATGCTCTGTTTATTGAAGTTTACTAAATAAGGCGCACCAACACCATGATCCAGCATGTTCAGGTTTTAAATTGAATCGATTCGAACCAACTACCATCTACGAGTGTATGCCTACTGTACTTAATCTAATCATTCCATATGCTCATACACTTTGAAGTTGCTCTGGCCAGGACTCACCTCATTCCCCCACTACCGGGGCTTCTTGGAGCAGGCGCACGTCCGTAATAAGCCATGATAACCAATAAATAAGCTTAATTCTATAAAAGAGGTAAACCGTGAACACCCCACTGCAGTAACACTAGGGTGGCCGAAAGGATGGCAGAGAGGAAATGAATTGTGGGTAGGTCTGGAGCTATTTAAAGGCAGCCAAAAATGGGTTTCCATGCCCTTCCTGCGTGCCTGCGATGAAGGTAACGGGATTTTTGTGAAATGGCACCTGCTTCACGGATAAATGATACTACCGCTCATGAGACCTCAAGGTGTGATATTAGACGGATTATCATAGAATTCCATCGTTATTTTACTTATTTCTACTTATTGACTATTTGACAGAGTAAGATATTTCGGAACATCAAGTTGAAACTGACAGAAAAATATATATCACCTTGATGGCTAGGTGAGGTCAACCGGCCTCTCGTAAAAAAAAAAGCTTACCTTCATTTTTTATATTTAATTCATATCACAGATTACGTTTCAATAACAATCTTCCATAAATACCACCATATACAGACTGCAGTATGGCTTACTGTGTGTGTGTGTGTGTGCGTGCGTGCGTGCGTGAGTGTGTGTGTGTGTGTGCGCGGGTGTGTGACGCACGCGTGTAGCTGTGATTGATAAAAAGGGCCTAAACGCGTGCACCTTTCCCCCATATTATCCCTATAACAAATACGGGACGAAATTAGAACAGCAATAAAGAAGACCAGCTTATGCAAGGCGTGTGTATACCGTGCATTGCACATGCGAAAGCACTGATCTGTGAGAAGTGTCCAAATTCCTAACACCTACAAAGTGTCTGCTAATGAATGAAGTGAGAGGCTGTGATCTTACTTGTGTTTCTTGATAAGGGTAAACCCCATGGCAGTCATGTATTCTTCAAATGAGATTTGCCCATCACCGTCAGTGTCGGCATCCTTAAACGCTCTCTGAAAAAAAAAGAAAAAAAAAAGTGAAATTTCTACAGTCAAAAATAAACCAGAAAAAAAGTGTCATAATTTCTTGCCCCAACAACAGATGCATTTTATACCCGCATGGGAAAAATTCATTAAGTGGCTTTTCGCTCTGACAAAAACGACCCAGGATCGCAGCAATGAATAGTCTTGGGTGTGATGATTGTGACATCACATTCTCAACTATAGCATTTACACCACTATCTGTTACCTAGTCTTTCTCAAGGCCGACGTGAACTTTATTGTCCCTGACCGGGAATCTGACCCCAATTTAAAAGTGGCGTGTATGTTACGCCTACACAGCGGGACTCTGAATAAAAAGTACACATTCTAGACAAATCCACATGTACACTTCCCTATATAAAAGCATTACATTGAAAAACAGGTCTGACTGTAAGTTTAATATCCGTCTTGTTACCGAGCCAATAAAACTTTGACCTAGATTCTTAAATTACACTCAACGCTCTGTGGATAATTAATGTCATTCTAAGTTCCATATAGTGTAAAGACAGTGCAGTATTGTCGCTGTATTGCAGATTTTAATGTTCGCAAAGATCTATATCTAAAAATCTCTGCAAAGATTTATAACTCGTAGTAAATAGCCGTTTAATGCGTACGGTTTGTATTATTACATGTCTAACTAAATCATACTGATAATGTACACGCACCGGTATATAAAAGTAGAATCTCATAAGAGCAAGTCATACATTATTGATAGGTATGCGGCAAATAACGCGTGTTATATAATAACATGACAGACGTAGACTTGTCTGCTAACCTGCTTTTTCATATCTGGGTGGAGCAGGCATTTTAGTTGTTTCGCATGTTCTTTTCATCAAGTCTTAAAACCTAAGATAAATAGCGTAAGTTGTTCGCTCTTTCCTTGGGCATAGTGAGTACAGTACAGTATGCGTCGTGCTAAAAGTACGGAGAATAGGCTGATCTGTGCAATGCCCCGTCGCTTTATGGTTACCGAACCCTTCATGTTCTCAAGTGATATTACCACTCTTCAAATACGGTGTCATACAAGCAAATACTCGTATCTGGGAAAGGAAGTTATGCGCCCCACCTCTCATACCACAAGCTTTTCAAACCCATTCAATATCTATATAAACTGGATTGGAAAACATTTCCATATATGATCCATGCATAATATATGTATAATGTACAGGTACATATATCACGGACAAGCTTGAAATGACAAGGTGTTGCCTGCATGAAGGTGACCTCTGAAACCACGTGTATTGTTAGTGTGGCTGGATGCCACAGCCCATCTCAGTCGAGACATATAAAATAGTGTAATGGCTTTAACGTAAAACTGAGATACGCATTCGCGTAGTATGCGAAAGCTGTCTGGGTTATCTTTTTCACTCAAGGCACGTATCTTACATTCCTAAGCATGGCGATGAAATTGTTTTCTTGAGTTATACAGTAGCGACATATTCATTGACAGTAGCCCTTTATCAGTAAGGCTCCAGAGCTAAAAAAATATGTTGTCGTGTCAGCATGAAATCTTTTAAAATACACTTCAAACGTCGCCGGCACGCGGGTGGTTGACCATGTGCGCTTGACTGATACGAATTGCTGGATTCCACCGAGTTTTGTATCATATACCTCATGATGCCTGGCCACTGTGGTACGGTCAGCTGTATGCTCCTTGCAGTGGTGTGATTTCCACTGACCTGTGACCATCCTTAAACCTCCACTAAAGACACCCTGTCTATGCATTGTTCACGTCCTGTGTGCTGATTACAAAAATCTATTGACTTTTTTGCTATACGATTTGAGAGTTAATTTCTTTATGAAATGAAAAAAACACGACAGTAATACCCAGTCGATTCCTGTCATTAAATAATTGATCAATATATCTATAGTGTTCATGTCGGTTGTATTATCTTATGATTGATGCATAGTCAATTATAATGGCAGACAGCAAGAGAGTTTTCCAATATACATGTACATTCTAGCATTCAAAGTCCAGCACGTACAAGTACTTAGGAAAATACAGACTTTCACTTTGTACACAGACTTATATTCTCTGCATCTTAACGTCACTTAAATTAATTGGGTATGCGTTTCATTTTTCTTTCCACTAAATGATTGAAGTGAAAGAAGTAGGCCTGTGACATTATAAAATACTGATGCAATGATTTTAATGAATATGACTAATGTTAGCCAGATTACTAGGGGAAGTAACCTAAAAAAATAATACTGTGTAAGAGTATCAGAGGTTTTACTAAACAGCAAAGGCCCGGTGTGCACCTTGGCCAGACAATTTATTTTACTTCAACGTCCCCTCGGGTAAACGAACACGCGTTTTGTAGCCCCCACGCTGTGAGGAGAAAGAGACAAACAGCTCGTGTCTGGGTATACATTTCCAAAACTTAAATCCCAATTTCAAAGCACGACCTTCAAGTGGATATTTTGATACAAATGATATTGCTGTATTATTTGCTAAAGAACCGGTCTTGGCATTCGATCCTCCCAGTGGCGACACGTGTTTGTATGAGACGTATTCACTACATATTTCAATCCACTCAACATGCACCTGGCGTTAACCAAATTCAAATAGTTATTTTAGTCCCATGGTTACATGATATATCGTAAGGTCATTCCCAGCAAACACCGGACGTTTTATAACGTTATTGTTACATTACGTTATTGTTACATATATATATGACATATTGGTTATATAAAAGCTATGGCAACGTTATAATAATGCTCTGTTTGCTGTGTAGTAAAGAAAAGACACTTGTACCGAAATGAATAATAATCAAACATGTATCTTCCACTTTCATTATTAGCATAGATGGGGAAATATTCTGCAAAAAGACCGGGTGGAAGGCGCTATTGAAAATATATGATAACATTAAAAATTATCACCCAAAGTCAAAGGTGGACATACTGTATAATCAATCAAGTCCAGCATGAACCTGTCATCTTTCTGTCGTCTATAAAAAAAGGAAAAAAATCCCCATCATAGTGATTTTCGGTACAGATAATCAACAAGTGGTCATTTTACAGAAAGCCACAGGTTAGGTTTCACCACAGCTCGAGGCACGGCATTGGCCTCAGTTGACCGCTGGTCAAATGCTGGAGATCAGTGCAGCACTAGGGCGGGGTTAAAGAACTCAGAGAAAGGGTCGGTAGTTGTCTTGTGGGGCTCTAATAACGGGTGTGGTTGTGAGGGTGTTGCCAGGGGATTGAAAATATGTACTACTTGGATATTGTTTCATATATGTACATCTCGATAACTGAGGCTCCTGGTATGAAATATGTGTCTTTAAAAACCTCGAGCTTACATTGGAATGCATTGGTCTACGTAGTCACCCAAAGTGACTGATTATATACCTTAATCATATAATATTGTCTGAATATCAATCTCTATCCAAACCTATATTATTTTTTTCTTTGTAGTTTTAGCACCGTACGTTATAGAATATACCGTTAGTTCATAGTCATTGTAAAAATGGTCTAGCCAACAGTCAAATGTCATTGAAGGTTGAAGGTTGAAAGTTGAATGAATTGGTGACTGCCACCAGCGTTTATGTGAGAACATAGGTATGACTGGCATTAAGAGGTCACATAGGCCTACAACCCATATATAAGTTTCAATATTTCACTTGTGATTAACGGAAATTACTGCAGACAATAATATTGCATTGTTATTACCTTGAGATTTAAGAGAACTCTTTATACCAGGCACTGCCACTGGATGATGACGCTTTCTTAAAATAAGGTCTATCTTTCCATCTTAAAACTGTTGACACTTCCTATTTATCTTTTTGAGTGCGACCTAATGCATAAGGATTGATAAAAAGTCCTAAAGACTCTATACAGTGTGTCTATCATAAATAAAACCTGCTTTTATAAGATATAGAATTAGAATCGAATTAGATATAGAATTATCATTTAATATTTGAATATATTAATGCATGTGGGTATGAAGCTACGTTAGTGCTATATTCGACATTTTTAGAGGACATACCTGCTTTAATATGGAAATTAAATTACGCACTGCAAATTCAGTGTTTCCCTGATACGTGTGATTTGAAAGGCGTTGCCTTACCCTAATTTGCTGCTCCTTGCCCACGTAACCATGCTTTGATAGACTTTCGATTAATTCATCGATACTAAGTTCCATGCTCCTGTCGGTATCGGCTTTGATGAAAAAGTCAGCAAAAGCCTCATACGTTAGCTGGCTGCTCATTTTGCCACGTTTTACTGACAGGAAATCCAAAACGTTTTATTCCCCCTGGTTAAAACTTATTCCTTTTCTCCCAACAACCTTGCCGGCTTCTTCTTTCGCTGCCCTACTCTGCCAAGGACAAATCGGTCTCTTCCGCGGTGACACGGTTGAATGTAGCCCGGTATTTATGTCCAACAAACCTGTTTCTCAGTGCAGCATGAACTAAAGTATGACCTAGATGTTAATTTCAGGCCTCAGTTTTATAAGGGTTATGGTATGAAGCATTGATGTGGGTGGTTATTCTGAATGACAAATGACTGTGGAGCGCGGTAAATCTGACATTATTCTATCAATGTAGTAGTATGCGTAAAAGAGTTGACTCGGGAAGTGATAAGGTCACCATTTTTTAAGCATGCGTGTTAGATGGTCTTCCCAGCCTTAGGCGACAGGCTGGGAGCGACACACTGTAAATAATGTTCCATCTGATTATATACCGTATACGATATGCGTACAGGTGTAAAAATATCCTTCCATCTACTGGGCTTACTCCTACAACTAGTGCTAAGTTTTTACTTGCTTTGACATGACATGACATGGTCACGGGCAGAATGGGATATAGACTACAGTGATTCCGAGTGAACTGCTTTTTTTCACTATTATTTTAAAGTCTCCCCAAAACAATCTTGTGTTCAGAAGTTTGTCACTATTTTACAATTGTTAGAACTATTTTGCCGATAGTTTTTTGCAACAACATTATTTAACTTAAAAAAAAGAATTTTGTACATAAAAATAGCATTCTGCTATTCATCCAGTTTAAGCCTATAAAGCTGTGTCTGTCTGTTAGACAGTTTAAGATATATCTGACGTAAAGTGCTTTGTAAATCGTGGAGTGGGCGTCCATCAATTAGTTAACGGCATGACATCATACACATTTCAAAATTTAATCTTACATGTATCTGGAGCACGTTATTGACAATGTTTTCATCCACGTAAGGTATGGATATTAGTTTTTTTTTTTCATTTTTATTTAAAACTTCTTACAAAATTACAAAATAATATCGCGAACATTAATAATACGGTATTATCGGGATTAATGGACAAGTTATGTTTCTTTGCGATCTAAGGCTTATAGGCCTTACATGTACCACGGTCAAAGAAGACTTGT